AACCTTAATAGTTGTTGGACAAAAAAAAAAAAAAGTTTCTAAATTCAGGCTAAAATGAGCTGGTCTCAACTAGGCAAGTTTATTTATATAGCACATTTCATGCACAATGGTAATTTAAAGTGCTTTACATAAATAGGAATAATAAGTATAAGAAAATAAAAACAACAAATATTACAAATGATTAAAACAGATAAAAACATTAAAATGTGTTAAAATGGGTTTTAAAAGAATAAAAAAGAAAAGAAAGACACAGTAGTGTGATCTGTAGCACAGTGTCCATTCAGTAAAGGCACAGCTCAACTTAAAAGAGCTCCCACGAATTATGATTCGTTCAGCGATTCATTTATTCCCTAACCCGCGAAGCTAATTTGCACTGATTGGTCTGATGACCCAGTCTGTTGCGATTTAGTTGACGGCGTTCAGCACGAGACAGAAAAAAATGTCGACCATGGCTATGAAGTAGCAGAGATTATGTGAGAACCCAATGGAGGAATGCAATAATGAAATGCAGATAAACACCAGCATATTACTCTACTCTTAACCCTAACCCTAAATAATAACAACGAAACGCATTCAGTATTGATCCAGTGGCACAAATTGAACTATTTTGAAAATTGTGTCTGTAATATAGTAGGCATCAGGGTGCTAGGTTAAATACCTTTTTAAAAATAAAAATATGAAAATTTATTACCTTTTCTGTAAAGATCAAGGACTTTTTGTGGTAAACTTTTTTTTTTTGTGTGTCTCTCAGTGGATACTTCTGACTTATCATCAATAATATTGTATTGAAATAAATACTAGAAAATATTGTGATATAATTTTAAGTTTATATCACCCACGCCTACTTGTTTTTTATACCATGTTGTAAATTATGCTAAGACAACACTTTAGCAGCCTCTTAGAATGGGTCTTAATCCACTTCCAAATGAAATTTTAGGTGGTTTGTCTAAAATACCAACACGCTGTTAATCAAAGACTGCTAAAATATTCAAAAACAGGTCATGGTGTCACAAGAACGTAATACCTTTTATCAAAATGGTTACGCTACCCACAACAGTTCAGTACAGGCATTAGTTTGGAATTCCTCCTCCTGTTTTGACTACAAATTTTATAATCGCTTCTAGTTCTTTGCCAAAAAAATACTTTTTATGTGTCCTCACAAACAGCAAGCTCATTTAGCTCACACACACAACAAAAAACCTTCAGTCTTCCAAATGACAAATGCTAAATAATGCATTGAACCAATCAAACTAACCTAAAGAATTAAACTCTGACTTGAGACTAACTTCAGTCAAATCCTGGACAATAAGAACACTTTACAATGATCATTTTAAAAACCCAGCAGTCTCTGATTTCCACACCAGTGGCTCTGCAAATAGCTTTTTTCCTGGTTCATTTTTTACACTGATAACATGTTTGGAATTCAGCCACACCTCAAACAAAAAGGCTGTTCTTGTGTCCAACAGTGAGAAAGGTCTTTGAACCACAGCCTGTTCCTGTTAGAAACACTGGAGCGCACATTTATAAAGAACAATAACTCATGTTGTGCATTACAGCAAATAATAAAAGTACTAAATTCGGCCTCCCATGGCTTAATGGTTTGCGCTTTACCCAATGCAGTAAGAGTGTATTACTATTATCCAACCCTGAATGAAACTGGAGAAGAAAAAAATAGCAAATCATGTGTCACAAGTCACTCTGAATAATGTGGTGTGTTTCCAAACCTCACAGGCCTCAAAGGAAGAAAACACAAATGAGGGTAGAGTAGATAGTTTTCATGTAGGTTTAGGTAAGGGCTGAGGTTTAATCATGACTCTGTGTAATGAGAGGTTTCTGAGCTTCTGAACGTCTGGAAAGATTATGTCATTCACAAACGTCTAGAATCATTATGGAACGTTCTTTATAGAGTCTTAAAGAGAAACTGAACCCATAAATAAAATGTGGCATAATTTTTTTTAACTCAATCCAGCTGTATTAGTTACTGAAGTGTTTTTCTTCATCGGGGGAAGTTAAAAACGTATTTGTTAAATAGTTACATTTGAAAGCAATAAACTGGATCAGTCTACTAAAAGGCGAACTACAGCATTACGATTCATTTAAAACCAGTTAAACTCTGCAGAGCCTATACCGGGTCCGTGATGTTACCGACTTTCGCTTTTAGATTTAAAAGGCTAGCAATACACCAGACCCCCTTAAATGGTTTCGTTTGAAAGTGTAGAATCTATATTTTATGCACATATACATCACTTTGGTTTTTATTCTACTGTACAAAAGTTATTTACACCTTAAATACACAGTATTTTGGATACCCGAGCTGGGTATTGAACACTGGTTTTTTTTCATGATTTTCATATGGTTTATATATGACACGTATACAAGTTATAGCTCAAATAAAAGCTCTTGCCGGTGCTCATACGGTTCTAGCATTCTTTTTACTGAATTATATTCACACTTCAAACAGTTGCCGAATGAATCGCGATGTTTCCATGGCGCAGAAGTGAAAACAATACATTTATGATCAATAAGCAGCCCCAGATAGCACAGACAGCTGTCCTCTCTTACCTTATGCTGTGCGCTTCAGGGCCATTCTCCTCTGTTTTTGAGGTGATGTGCATAAGTAATCCTTTTCTATGTCTGACATGGTCCGAACATAGGGAATTACGTTTGATCAAACAAAAGAATAGTGAAATATGAAAACAAGGATCGGTCCCTCTGGCTTGTATAGCACCTCTCATCAGTTGGAATACAATAACTTTTGCATAGATTATGGTAGAGACATCGTTTTTTCCTATGATTACAGACATGTGCAGGAACCACCAAAATGAATTACAGCAACCTAGACCACACAGAACCTAAAAGGTTTCGGAAATCCGAAATAGCAGCAGAGTTTAACTGGTTAAAGTAAATTAAAGTAATCCAAAATTTGTAACAATTGAAGAGAGATTGCCTTCATGCATTATTCAAATCACCTGTATGAAAGCATTTTGGCTTCCCCGCAAAATATAATGATGAATGATAAAGTTGTGGTGAGACCTAAATGCTTTCTTAAGTTAATGATTAAAGGTGTTTTCTGTCAGTTTGCTTAGCCTGCATTAGTGCATTTAGAAACAGTGCAGCTTAATCTTTCAGTCTAGCAAAACATCGCTCTCCCTCTCTGTCTCAGCAGTCACATGTCCTAAATAAAGCTGAAGACTGTGTGTTTTTCACTGTCCAGAGAGAAAGAGCTCATCACAAGACCAGCGTCATATTACCTGACCTCATTACAGGCGTCAAAGAGAGTCTGATAACACTGTAGTCTAGATGAGGTCAAGCGGTGAGCAGTTATCATGATGGGCCTGCTCTGTGCCATCAGTGTCCAGTTTATAAACTCCACCCCTTCATATACGTAGATGGACATCATGTCTGACTAGACTACTAAACCTCTCTTTGCTGTGGTCTTTTCAGTGAGCACTGTAAGAAATTAAGGGTTCCACACAATTCTTTCAAGGTTGTCTCAACATAAATCGATTGTTAACTTAATCTTTTTAACAAATTTAAGTTGATCGAACATAAAATGTTTAAGTTGTCTTCAAAAAACCCTGGGAATCTTGTTGTTTAACTCATTTTAAATAAGTAGTTTGAACAAACAGCAAGAGTGAAGGTTTATTAGACTGAAATTTCGTCCGTGTTTAATCCATTAGTTTTAAGCATAAAACATTAAAATCTATGTATTTATTTGATTATTAAAAAAAAAAAAAGTATTTTTTATATATTTAAATTAACCACTTGAACTCTGCGACGTCATCGACTTTTGCTTTCAGATTTAAAGGGCTAGCGTTGCACCAGAACCCCGTAAGTGGTTTCGTTTGAAAGTGTAGAATCTATATTTTATGCACATATGCATCACTTTGGTTTTTATTCTACTGTATAAAAGTTATTTACACTTAAATACACTGTATTTTGGATACCCGAGCTAGGTATTTTACATTGGTTCATTTTCATATTTTTTTATATGACACATGTACAAGTTATAGCTCAAATGAAAGCTCTTGCCGGTGCTCATACAGTTCTAGCATTTTTGTTACTGAATTATATTCATATGCCAAACGGTTGTTGGATGAATTGTGGTGTTTCCATGGCGCAGAAATGTAAACAATACATTTATGATCAATAAGCAGCCCCAGATAGCACAGAAAGCTGTCATCTCTTACCTTATGCTGTGCCCTTCAGGGCCATTCTCCTCTGTTTTTGAGATGATGTGCATAAGTAATCCTTTTATATGTCTGATGTGATCCAAACACAGTGAATTATGTTTGATCAAACAAAAGAATAGTGAAATATGGAAACAATGATCGATCTCTGTGGCTTGTACAGCACCTCTCATCAGTTGGAATGCAATAACTTTTGCATAGATTATGGTGGAGACCTTTTTCTTTTTTCCTATGATTACAGACGTGCAGGAACCACCTAAATTAATTACAGCACGCTAGACCACACAGAACCTAAAAGGTACACTTTCAAATTTGAGTTTATAAAAAAAAAAAAATTACAAAAAGCGCCTCTTTTTTAGGTGTTTATTATAACACAGACAAAATATACAGTTATTTTAAACACTTTCAATAGTGTTTTATGCAAATTCAAAGGGTTTTGTTTAAAATGATACCAAATTTTTGCATTTACACCTCTGCATGTGGATTTGGGAAGCTTTTAAATTTGGGTAGGTAAAATCCAGGTGGAAATCCCCAAATAGTTTAAGTGGTTAATAAATAAAATTAGCGAAACGGCGAGGCAGTGAAAGGTAAACTGCGTTATAGCGAGGGACCACTGGACATATTAAATATAGTACACACTTATGTATTATTTCAAAACAAACTTTTATTTTGGATGTGGTTTATTGAGATTAGTTTTAGCCCAGCACTTTTTTTGCTTGTTTGTTGAACCATATTAAACCAAATTATGTGTTTTATGTTACTGATCACCTCTCTTTTTTTTTATTCATTTTTTTTTTTTTCATTTGACAGGAAAAGTATGGATTCCCAAACAAAAACCAATCCAGCTTCATCAGGAGGAAGCCACAACCTTGGACCCCGAGTTGGAAGAGGCTCTGTCCAGTGCTACTGACACAGAACTGCATGACCTGGCAGGTAAAAAAAGCTACAAATACTTACAACTAGAGGGATGTAACGGGAGATCAACCATAAGCTAAGAGAACACCAGTATCAAAGGCATAGTTTCATTGCTCTAAACCTCAATGAACAGCTTTGTACTGTTGGTTCTTTCTGCGAGAGCCTTTACTCCTTGACTCTGGGGGTTCGAACGCCCACATTTCATCCATCACAGCTCTAGAATAACAGCTTCTTTCAGCACGCTGCTTTAAGAGATTGTCCCCAGCTGTTTTCTCGTACTGCATGGTTCATTATGATCTTGATGCACTTTATTCTCTTTGTGTAGTTTATTTATAAACTAATTTTGAGAGGAACACGTGCTTATGATTAAAGACGGCTGGTACCGCATCAACTCCCTATATTGCACCAATGAATGCTGACTCACTATAATTAACCAGAGTTTTTCACTGCAGTCATTTTCGTCTTGAAGAATCCCCCCTTCCACCCCTACTCCTCCACTTCTCCTGATAGGGCAGCAGGGCGGGCCAGTGGTTAGCACTGTTGCCTCACAGCAAGAACGCCACTTGTTCAACCCCTCATCAGGCCAGCCTGCGTTTCTGTGCGGAGTTTGCATGTTCTCCCTGTGCTTGTTTGGGTTTTCCCTGAGTTTCCCGGTTTCCTCCCACCGTCCAAAGACATACATCATAAGTACTCCAAAGTGAGGTCTTAAGACAAACTCTTTGCCAGCTATATTTCAGCTATTCCTAACACTTTCACAGCAGGGTAGTTCTCGAGAGCTACCTGAACTCAAACTCCCCGGGCTCGAGGATCTTAGGAGCTCAAGGCTCTCTCACGGGACAGCATGCCAAATACACTTTATTATCAATCATCAGCTAAGTGTGAACAAAATGTGTTGAATGTGTTTCTTGGTCAGCTTTGCCAAAAAATAAATAAAAAATGTAAAATTTAAAATGCTAGCAAAGTACCATACATAAGTGGTACAAAGCAATGTAAAAAAAATATCTGTAAATTAATAGTTTTTCACATTTTGTGACTCATGATTTTATTTTTTCCTATTTGTTTATGCATTTGAATTGCTTTATGGGACCTTGATCTTTCTTCCAACAACTTTTAACCTTGAAAAGTAAAAAATTAAAATAATAAAAGACTTTTATGAACAATTTTAATAGTTAAATTAATATATTGTCTGAGCTGGTGTTGTATATTATGCTACAAAAACCTTGTAATAAACTGCCAGCACATTTTCTGTCATTTTACAGACTTACTTCTCTATATTTTATTTCTTATACATTATATTATTTCGAACTACTAAAATGTCAAGCCTTTGTTAAACTGTAGAGTTGAACATTGAATATCAAAAGTTGACCAAGCAGAGATCAACATCCCATAATAATCCCATAACCCATTTGTGTTTAAATGCATAAGGCGGGATCTAATTAATGAGCTCAGATAGAAAATTCTGCATTGCGTTCTTTTCATATGGATTAGTAAACCAGAGAACATTTGTTTTCAGAAACAGTCGGCTCTGTTGCAAAATAAAAAAATGGGGATTGTAACTCACACTTCTTACTCGTTACAATTGGGAGTTTGTTTTTCTCAATAAAAACTGCCAGTTGTGTGTAAAACTCACTTTTATTCAACTATTCTGAAACAAGTTTCAACAATTCTCTACTTTTTCTTAGAATTGCAAGAGATATCAGACAAATCTGCGAAAGTTAGTTGCGAAAGCCTGTACATTTTCAAGTTGCCTTTATGATAAAAAAAGTATTGTGAGAGTCGCATTTCTAACTAATTTTCTCAGAACTGTGCAATTATACCCATCAATGTTAGAAATTTTAATTAATGTATTTTTTTAATCGTGACCTATTTTTTTTCTTTTTTAAATTAGTCTCATAAACAAGGTTCGTTAAATTGTAAAAAATGCTGGGTTCCACATTCCTTCATATTGTCCAAACACAAATCGATTAAGTTAACTTGAGTGTTTTATAAATTTAGGTGGATTAAAAGCAATTAACTTTCACCCAAAAATCTAAAGATTTGTTTATTCAGCTTGTTTTAAATGAGTAGATGGAATAAACAGCAAGAATACATTTTTTTAAAGTATTTTTTTGGACTGTATTTTAATGTGTACTGTTGTGTTTTCTAGCTATTCTTGGAGTGAACACACTGGTGACAAGCACGCAGAGTTATGACGGCAGTAAAGACGGTTATAACAGTAAGTTGATTTCATCTTTTCAATAGATATCATGCACATTAGATTTTCTCCTAAAGTATCAATTTATTATTGATGTGTTTACATTTAAAGGGTCTGTGAAGTGCTTTGAAATGTGCAGTTTGTATTAGATGTTTGATGTAATCTCAATTGAAAAATGATAATAGGATGGGATATAGAGTAGCTTCTCCCCTTTAAAAAAACAGCCAATAGCATTTAGTTTTTATCACAGCTCTGCCAATGAGAGTGGTTGAGATCAAGCGCATTAAATGAAAAACAAATAAGAAAGCGTCTTAAAGGGGATGGGGCATGTCATTTACTAAAGAGCATTTGATTGGTCAAGTTTTGATGAGTAGTGAGCCGTTACCACTAAGAGGTTCAGTACTGGTCACCTTTATCAGGCTTTCGTTTCCACTGCCAAAAGGGTACCCTTTTAGTGGCCGTGGTGTACGACAGAAAGTTTCAGACGACGTCATTTTTACTCAAGAAAATGTCACAGTAAAGCTGTACAGGTCGATCACATATCATATGAGAAGCTCTTCTAACAAAACGGATGCGTTGTACACTTAAACACTTGTGTATAAATGTTCATTACTAAGTTTTCTATGAACATGATTTGATTATAACTGCAGATCAATGACATCTGCAATTATATACAAAAAAATTTATAAATGCAACATACAGTTGGTCAGAATTATTAGCCCCCCTGTTTAATTTTTTCCCCAGTTTCTGTTTAACCGAGAGAAGATTTTTTTTTTCAACATGTTTCTTAACATAATAGTTTTTATAACTCCTTTCTAATAACTGATTAATTTTATCTTTGCCATGATTACAGTAAATAATATTTGATTATATATTTTTCAAGACACTTCTTTACAGCTTAAAGTGACATTTAAAGGCTTAACTAGGGTTATTAGGTTAACTAGGCAGGTTAGGGTAATTAGGCAAGTTATTGTATAACGATGGTTTGTTCTGTAGTCTAACGAAAAAAAAAATGATTAAAGGGGCTAATAATTTTGTCCCTAAAGTGTTTTTTTTTTTTTTAATGTAAACTGCTTTTATTCTAGCCAAAATAAAACAAAAAGACTTTCTGCAGAAGAAAAAAATATTATCAGAAATACTGTGAAATTTCCTTGCTCTGTAAACATCATTTAGGAAATATTTAAAAAACAAAAAAAAAAATCAAAGGGGGGCTAATAATTCTGACTCTAACTGTATATAAACACAAACAGACCCTTACAGTCTCTGATATGTTCTCAATTATAGAAAAACTACACACAGCATACATTTAGTCCTTAGATTTTTTTCTTCTTGGCTTTGTGGCCATTCATCAAGACGAGGACAAGGTTTGTTTGAACTCGGGTCGACCATGGCTTGTTATCATATATACAGTTGAAGTCAGAATTATTAGCCCCCTTTTGATTTTTTTTTCCTATTTTAAATATATCCCAAATGATGTTTAACAGAGCAAGGAAATTTTCACAGTATGTCTGATAATATTTTTTCTTCTGGAAAAAGTCTTATTTGTTTTATTTCAGCTAGAATAAAAGCAGTTTTTTAAAAAACATTTTTGGGACAAAATTATTTGCCCCTTTAAGCTATTTTTTTTTTTCGATAGTCTACAGAACAAACCATCGTTATAGAATAACTTCCCTAATTACCCTTCCCTAACCCTAAATTATTATTTACTGTCATCATGGCAAAGATAAAATAAATCAGTTATTAGAAATGGGTTTTTAAAACTATTATGCTAAGAAATGTGCTGAAACAATCTTCCCTCCATTAAACAGAAATTGGGGAAAAAAATAAACAGGGGCGCTAATGATTCATTCTGACTTTAACTGTATATATCATTACAGTGTAATGTCTCGGCTGTGTTTCTAAAAATGGTGCATCCTTTGTTTTCAGTCTCCTGCTTCTGCGATTGACGCTTCTCTGTAAAACCAATAGCGTTCAGCTGCGTGTCTTGCTCCGCCTTATGGTACCCTTTTGGGCCTCTTGGTACCCTTTGCAAAGGGTGACCAAAAAGTGGTACGGTACGGTTCGTTTTTAGGTACCTTTTGACATTGGAAACGGCCATAAAAGCATATAACCGTACCATACTACTCAGTGGAAACAGGCTAAAACTATAGTATGAGGTGACGTAGTAAAAAAATCATTGATCCAATTAGGCGGAAGTGACAAACTGCAAGCTTTAGACATTTATATAGGTTTTATACTTTCTAAACAGCAATTTTGGAACACACTAGCTCAGGGGTCACCAAACTTGTTCCTGGAGAGCCGGTGTCCTGCAGATTTTAGCTCCAACCCTAATCAAACACACCTGAACAAGCTAATCAAGGTCTTACTAGGTATAGTTGAAACATCTAAGCAGGTGTGTTGAGGCAAGTTGGAGCTAAACCCTGCTGGGACAACAGCCCTCCAGGACCGAGACTGGTGACCCCTGCACTAGCAAATAGATATCCTTAATTTTCATTTCACAGGACCTATAATGCACATGTTATTCAGTGGAAGCTCATTTGAGAATAAATCATTGTCTTGTAGATGTCATTAAAGGAGAAAAGGTAAAGCCTGTTTTTGATGAACCTCCAAACCCTACAAACGTTGAAGAAAGTCTGCAGAGGATAAAGGCCAATGATCCCACGTTGACTGAAGTCAATCTCAACAACATCAAGGTAATGAGACTTATCCACTAAATGTGTTCTAATGAGACATTAAAAACATAAACATACAAATTTCACTGAAATCCTATCATTATAAATGATGTTTATTAGTTTTATATTACTTAATGTGAAAAATGTGACTCTTGTGCAGACAAGTTTTTTTTTTTTTTTTGCAAAAGGTTACATGAACCATTTTAAATAATGCTGGGGAGCTTGATCATCAGGTTTTATGTTCATGTCAGCTAATTACATATAATGACGGACATTCTTAAATTATTCTTAAAATTTCACTCACTAGTGGTGCAACCAGTCACAGTTTATTTTATGATTCATACTGACCACAACTTACGATTTACATTTGATCCAGTGATAATCAGCTAAATGTAACCCAGACAGCCACATTTCAGATGATTTGTTAAATCCGAATAAGTTACAGTACATCCATGAGGACTTTTAAATAAGCCAGTTCTAGTTCTGGAGCTTCCAGTGAACTGTCCTGCTATAATAAACTCGTCAGGTTTAAGATGTGGTAGTTTAAAATCAGTGATCTTGACTGCAAAATTGACATACAATATACAGTGGGTCTGAGACCGGACGTGCTGTACAATATTGGAAAAATTGGACATTGCGGTATGTTGTTATATATTGTGATATAAATATATTTTCACCAGATGAGTTGAATAGCTCTATTTGGAAAAATTTCATTCATTTAGATTATGTATTGCGATATGAATATAATTTCTGCTTTGTTTGGAAAGATTTCATTCATTTAGATTGACTGAGGAGATCAAGTCTTTTTCTATGCATAAATCTGTGCGTGTACCTGCATAAATTATATTAAATTACAAGCAAAAACAATTAAATAAACTGTGCTTTGTGTTTTTCTGGGGAAATTGTAAAATAACATGTTCATCATTGTAGAAATAAAAAAGCATACCTTGATATTTTAATCTTTAATAAATAATCTAATCCTGCAATATGACTATTGCAGGTACACACTAGGATTCTCAAACGATTTAAAACAAAAAAAACCCTGAAAAATCACATGTACAGAAGTATTCACAACCTTTGCTCAATACTTTATTGATGCAACTTTGGCAGCGATTACAACTTCAAGTCTTTTTGAATATGATGCCACAAGCTTGGCACACCTGTCTTTAGGAAATTTTTGTCCATTCCTCTTTGCAGTACCTCTCAAGCTCTATTAAGTTGCATGGGAAGGGACAGTGTACAGCCATTTTCAGATCTCTCCAGAGAAGTTCAATAGGATTTAGGTCTGGGCTCTGGCTGGGCCACTCAAGGACATTCACAGAGTTGTTGTGAAGCCACTCCATTGATATTTTGGAAGGTGAACCGTCGCCCCAGTTTGAGGTCAAGAGCCATCTGAAGTAGGTTTTCATTCAGGATGTATTTCATTCATTGCTGCATTCATCTTTCCCTCTATCCTGACTAGTCTTCCAGTTCCTGCGGCTGGAAAAACATCCCCACAGCATGATGCTGCCACCACCATGCTTCATTGTAAGAATGGTATTAGCCTGGTCATGAGCGGTGCCTGTTTTTCTCTGAACGTAACGCCTGGCATTCACTCAAAAGAGTTCAATCATCTCATCAGACCAGAGAATTCTTTTTCTTACAGTCTGAGAGTCCTTCAGATGCCTTTTGACAAATTCCAGACTGGGACTGGCTTCCGTCTGGCCACTCTACCATACAGGCCTGATTGGTGGATTGCTGCACAGATGGTTGTCCTTCTGTAAGGTTCTCCTTTATCCACAGAAGAACACTGGAGCTCAGACAGAGTGACCATCAAGTTATTGATCACCTCCCTGGCTAAGGCCCTTCTCCCCCGATCACTCAGCTAAGCTTAGATGGCCGGCCAACTCTAGGAAGAGTCCTTGCGGTTCCAAACATCTTCCACTTACTGATGATGGAGGCCACTGTGCTCATTGAAACTTTCAGTGCTGCAGAATTTTTTTTCTGTAACCTTCCCCAGCCTTATGTTTGAGACAGAGGTCTACAGACAATTTCTTTGTCTTCATGCTTGGTTTGTGCTTTGACCTGCACTGTCAACCGTGGGACCTTATATAGACAGGTGTATACCTTTTCACATCATGTCCAATAAACTAAATTTACCATAGGTGAACTCCAGTTAAGCTGCTGAAACATCTCACAAATGTACCTGACCTCAATTTAGAGCTTCACTGCAAAGGCTGTGAATACTTATGTACATTTTTCAGGTTTTATATTTTTAAAAAAGTTGAAACAATTTCAAAAAAATATTTTTTCACATTGTCATTATGGGGTATTGCGTGTAGAATTGTGAGGAAATCAATTAATTGAATCAATTTTGGAATAAAGGCCTGTGCACACCAGGACGTTTTTTGCTTGTGTTTTCTGTTGACGTTTAACGTCTCGTGACTAAATAAAGGGAGCCAATGTGGTCGCGCACACCAACACGCAAAACGGTAGGCGTAGAAGCATAATTTTTAAAGAAACGCCTCATGCTCGTTTTTTGTTTTGACATGCCGCGTCAAAACCATCTCCGCCAATCAGATTGGCACTTTTGTTCACGTGCACGTAGCTGCTGAAGTTGCAGTAAACAGCACTTGAAGGCACTCAAGGGCAAAACTGTCAATGCGAGTTCACATTGAAGATGGCGATATGAATGTAGAGCTGCTTATAGCACTGGTGAACAATAATTATTTCTTCATCGCTAGAGCTGGAGCTACTACTTGAACCATCCTGTCAGGGTTCTGCCACTCTGGTCTTGTAAATTCTTGTTTTAGTGGCAGAGCTCTGACACTACCCATGTCTGGTCCTGTTTCTGTCTCTGTGTGCGCGCGCGCCGTCGTGGGTGTACGCGGAGTGTGTGCGCTGCCGCTTGATGTGCTAGTGTTTGTGTTTGTTCTGTCAGCATCACGCTGCTTTATTCTCGGCGCCTCCGTCTAGTTGGTTTCAGTTGGTTGGCGCTGAGATGAAGCATGCGCGTTGCTTATGTGTGAGCGCACGGTAATGTGTTTATCTATCGTGTGCTCGTGTCTTGCGTCTCTTGTCAAAGCACGTGGCTCGGTGTTTACATTGTGGTCACGTGCTTTTGTCGTGTGCTTCAGTGTTGTGTTTGTTGTCATGAACATGCAGTTAATGAGTTCTCTTATTGGCTGCATGTTCTTGTCCTGTTATGTGAGCGCATGGCTTGTGTTGTCTCTCTGTGTCATGCGCTCTCCCGTCTATTGTCTTGTCCCACCCTCCTTGTTAACCCATTATTAGTTAATTGTGTTCACCTGTTTGTGTGTTAATTTTCTACAGTTTATAAGCCCCTCACATTTGCTGTCCTGTGCCAGTTCGTCATCACATTTCGTCGTTTGAAGTTTAGTCCTGTTGTGTTTCCAGTCCTCATTCTTGCCAGTCTGCCCAGTCCTGTTTGTATGTGAATGTATTTGTTTTGTTAACGTTTTCCCCCCGGGGTAGTTTATTTTGCATTTTATTTTATTTTTATTATTTAATAAATTCCCATTTTTCCTGCACTTGAGTCCTCGCTCCTTTCCCCTCACCAACCCTGACACATCCATGCTTGTTCGAATGTGTCAACTTTCTGTCTTCTTCTGTGTTATGAGCGGGTGTCAGAAGCTTATAGTTGTGTAGCACCATCTAACGTCAAGGAGTTATTTTGCATACTCTTCTGCTCGATACCCAAAAATGGCTTGGGTTTGAATTCAGGGTTTGGGTTTGAAAAAAGTGAAGCGCTATGAATACTTTTTGGATGCACTGTATTGTTAAGCCCTAGAATGAAAGCTCCTTTTTTAAACTGGCAAAATAGAGTATTTTTTACATGTCATGGTTTAATCATGCACAACAAATCTGTTTTTTAATGTTTCCCCTTCTCTTGTCTTCCAGAACATTCCAATCCCGACCCTGAAGGAGCTTGCGAAAGCCATGGAGAGGAACACTCATGTGAAGAAGTTCAGTCTGGCTGCCACCAGGAGCAATGACCCTGTTGCTGTGGTGAGGACATAATTCACTGCAGATGATCGTGTTCTGGGTTGAAGCTGGACATATGGTGCTTTTTGGGGTCTGCTTCTAGATTTGTGCTGTATAGAATAGAAAGATAGAAAGAAAAGAAGCGCGTTGTTTGAATTATGCAGTTATAAAGTTGATCGTTTTGATCATTTCATGTAAAGTACTTTATATTGAGGGTGCCTGCTGGGGAGGATTTTCAGCACAGCACAAGCTTTTTTACACAAAAGTAAAGTAGCTTTGTGGGGATATAGGGCTGCAACAAACAAATATATTAATGATAGATGAATATAATTGTTATTAAAACACTGCATATTTAGTCGCATTCCTCATTAGTAGATTAAAATACAGTTTAATATACACTCACCTGCCACTTTAATAGGTACACCTTACTAGTAAAGGGTTGGACCCCCATTTGCTTTCAGAACTGCCTTAATCCTTTGTAGCATGGATTCAACAAGGTACTGTAATTATTCCTCAGAGACTGTGGTCCATATTGATATGATAGCATCTCGCAGTTGCTGCAGATGTCCATGATGCGAATCTCCCGTTCCACCACATCTCAAAGGTGCTCTATTGGATTGAGATCTGGTGACTGTGGAGGCCATTTGAGTGTAGTGAACTTACTTTCATGATCAAGAAACTAGTCTGAGATGATTCACGCTTTATCACATGGCGAGTTATCCTGCTGGAAGTAGCCATCAGAAGATGCGTACACTGTGTTAAGCAACAATAATCAGGTAGGCTGTGGTGTTGACAGGATGTTTAATTGGTACTAATGGGCCCAAAGTGTGGCAAGAAAATATCATTCACATTATTACACCACCATCGCCAACAATTGATACAAGGCAGGATGGATCCATGCTTTCATGTTGTTGATGCCAAATTCTGACCCTACCATCCAAATGTCTCAGCAGAAATCCAATCTTCTATTGTCTAATTTTAGTGAGACTGTGCGAATTGTAGGCTTAGTTTTCTGTTCTTAGCTGACAGGTGTGGCACCAAGTGTTGAGTTGCTGCCGTGTTATTGGCTGATTAGAAATTTGCATTAACAAGCAGTTGGATAGGTGTACCTAATAAAGTGGCCGGTGAGTGTATCTGAGGATCAAATTTTACTAGAACGAGACTGCTGCAGAGAGTTTTTAAATAACAAAACAAGACAGTTTTATATTTATTTATACATAGTTTTCTATTGTGATATTCAGAGATTTTAATTATGTGGGACACAGCGTGCATCTGCTTGTATTGCTCCTGAGTCATTTCTAATTAATTTAAGAGTAATGTAGTTTCATTCTTGCGTCATCGTGAAATAAGGTTTAATTAAAATTTTGGAGACTTGTAAAAACTTAACACATGTGGTGTCCAAGGTTATTCATAAAAGGTCATGTATGCATTTTAAATATTTTAAAAAAGCTTTCAAAAAGACTTTATATCAGGTTCCTGCAGAATCCCTGATCACAAATATGTTTGTCTTTTTTATCATTATTGTTTACATACAATGTTGGCTAATTTTAGCACTATAAACATTCATATAGTACATCTTAATGCCATGTAAAGCTTTGTTTGTTTCTTTGTGTTCGTTGCAGGCGTTCTCAGACATGCTGCGAGAAAATAAGACGCTAAGGAGTTTGAATTTGGAGTCTAATTTCATCACCGGTGCAGGAGTTCAGGCTCTTGTAGAAGCTCTTCGAGACAACGACACGCTTTCAGAGATCAAGATCGACAACCAGGTAAGGTCACAAGCACATACTGACCGTCACAAACTGTTAATGGTCGTTTTTGATTTATGGGTGTTTTCGATTGATTTTATCTTGCATGACATCAAACTGTGAGACATCAGTATCTTCTCAGACAACATTTGCTGTTGAAAAGTGTACCAACATGGCGCTTATTTCTATTTTTAGTTCTTTGAAACCATGAAATGTCCGGATTTTTAATAGAATTGCGGTAAAAATAAAGAAAGAATTGATGATTAGTCAAATTATTTTTATTATTATTATTAATGTTTAATGGATTATCAAAATAATTATTTGTTGCAGCCCTGTTTTTTTTTTTTTTTTAAAGTCTGATTTACCGTATTTGTTTGTAAATAACCAATATTTGTGAACTAAAACGAAAGATTTAAGTTATATTTTAAGGTGCATTTTACTATTTTTCTATTCTTCTTATTTTATTTACGCAGAACATTAAAATGTTTCAAATTTGAGCATTTTTAAGCTTATTAATAATATTTAGTAAATATCTTAAATCTTAAGGAAGCTAATTTTTACGATATAGTTAGAGGCTTTCACACCTAGACTTTTGTTTCGGAACCTGGTTTGTTTCCGCGCTCGGATCCACGACAAAGCAATCGGTCTGAGATCACCTGAATGAGGTGGTTTTGGTTTAACTGAAACGAACTCTGAAACGCTTCGATTGTCGTGCAATGCGATCTTCTGAACTAACGAACCAGGCTATATTACAGTGTATTATGGATATGTAACAGGCATATGTGGCTATATGAATCAGAGTTATGAGTAGGATGGGATGTCATTCGTTCAGTTTACTCACATGTGACTTGTTTTAGCTATTTTGGTCTGTTTAGAAACTTTGGTATGTGAAAGCGAACCGCACCATGAGCTAAGTGCAACATTGTAACAGTTCTATTCTCTGTTTCAAAACAATCGATCTACAGGTGTAACCTTAAATTTGGGGATGGAAATGCAGAAGTTATAATGCAGCAATATGTGGTTCATAAAGTTTTTACATTTTATGTAAAAACATACTACATGTTAACAAATCATTATTTAATAATCAGAAAATACACTGCAATTAGAAGATAGATTTCACAATAATCACTATATAATAAGTAGGTTATAAAGTATCACATTGTTTTATGGCGTTTATATTACAGATTGTTATAAATAAGAGCTTTTTTTAAAATATAATTTTCTAAAAGAGAATGTGTGTTCAATTAGGGGTGTGAACCTACACTGGTCTCACGGTTCGGTAACAATTAATATGCCATCGATTCGGTTCAATTCAATATCTTGGTGTCTCACGGTTTATTGCTGATGCTTTCCTGATATAATTTGCTTTTTTCTTCACGGCATAATTTTTTTTTTATTAAAATCTATAAATATATTAATATTTATATACTATTTGTAATACAATTTTGTCCGTTAACACAAGCAGTAAGATATAAGAACTCTACCTTTACTTTTACCTGCTCAAAGAAAACTCTTTTAGAATGTTTTAAATAAAACTCCAAGACAGCATGATTATAGCAAATAGACTAATGTAAATATTATCCTGCTTGCTTTTTGAGCACTGTCAAGCGAGTTCTTACACCCCTATGATTGGTAATTGTCTTCACCCGCTCAACAGAAAGGGCTGCGATTGGCTTTAGAAATGAAAGCGCTGGTTACCGATGAGTCACACGGGAAGAACAGCTGCGGATACAGTCTATATGTGCATAATGGACGGTTATGACGGGTAATCCATAATAGACGCAGTGGAGAAACTCGCACTACAGGCACGCTCATGTCTAGATCAGCCGAGAGGAGAGGAAAAGTTACCTCACAAACATGCCAGCCGGTCAAATGTCAAGTGAAAGAGGGGCAAAGATGGAGTTTTACAGCATTTCTCCCTAGTTGTGAAATAGCGGCTCGTGCTGTATACCTTCTTCAGTGTCAATGAAAGACTGTCCAGCAAACTCACAAGCAGTGAATCATGCACAATTATCTGCTTTTTAATAAGCAGTAGGAACATTTAACTTACTCGCCCTCACCCCCTTTGCCTTAGTATTTTCCCACGACATCACTCGTAGGAGATTAATAATGTCAGTAGGTAATAACCGGTTATGATCTATAACTTGTAGCGGTATTTGGCTAATAAAGTGGGTTGGGCGCCAGTTAAGAAACCCTACTACAGTTTCTTAAATAATTCAATTAAATGAAAATCTAAGCTTCAACAGATGCATGTTTTAATAAAGACCAAATCAATATTCAATCGTCAAACAGATCAATATATTAATAAAGAAGAAAACGAAAAGAACAAGCTTTAACTTCAACACATTGTAAGTAAATCCATAAACCAAACAAACTTAAATTTCCAGGCCCAGGCACAATACCTATTAATTACCTTTTACAAAAAAAAAAACAATCAACGGGTGATACATCAACCAACCATAAAGATATAAATCAAATAAACCACTTCTGAATATACAACAATCAATATTAATCTAATTCAAATCCCACAAACATAATAATATTTCAAGTTCAAATCAATCACTCATTCATGAACTTATAACTCATGAACCGATATCGAATTGTTCGCATCTGCATTGCGTGGCACAGAGGAAACGATTAATTTTGACACCCCTATGTTCAATAGTTTTAGGACAACAAAAAGGGTTTTGATCCACTTCAAATGTTGACTTCTGTCAACACTACTAATCAGCACCTAATGATTGAATTATGTTCCATCTATAATTCATCTTAAATCTAGGTATGTGCTAAAATGTGTTCAAAGCACTGCTATTTTCAGACACTAGAAAGTAAATGCAGGCATCACTCACTGTGAAATGTCTACGAGTTGGCTTATGTAAGCATGTCTAACAGATTCCCCTTTGTGTGATGTTTGCTCACAGCGGCAGCAGCTCGGTACGTCGGCTGAGATGGAGATCGCGAAGATGCTGGAACAGAATACAAGCATCGTGAAGTTTGGGTACCACTTCACCCAGCAGGGTCCCAGATCCCGCGCCGCTGCCGCAATCACAAAAAACAACGACCTGGGTGAGAACATGACCTAATGCACATATACTGGGATTGAAGGCTTTGAGTCCTGATTGGTCATTTGCCGATTTGTAAACAGTGTTGCCTTTTTAAAACAAAAATTCTTTGCTCCACATAATAAATATGATTGCACCATGGTACATCCTTAAAGGGATAGTTCATCTGTTATCCATCTGTCATGCCAAACATTTTTGAGTTTCTGTTGAACTGAGATTTTGAGAAATTGTGTAAACCAGCAGCCTTCGACTTCCATTGTATATTTTGATTCTTCTATTGATGTCAATGGGTTTCGACCATTCTTCAGAATATCTTGCTTTGTGTTTAACAGAAGAAATAAGTTTATAAAAGTTTGTAATCACTTGTGTGTGGAAAAAAAAAGTAATTTTTGTTGAACTATCTCTTTAGAGCAGTGGTGTCTAAACTCGGTTCTGGAGAGCCAGTGTTCTCCTGAGTTTAGCTCTAACTTGCTTCAACAAACCTGCCAGGAAGTTTCTAGTTAATGTAGCATATCTAGTAAGAGCTTGATTAACTGGCTCTGGTGGGTTTGATTAGGGTTGGAGCTAAACTCTCCAGGACACTGGCCCTCCAGGACCAAGTTTTGACACCCCTGCTTTAGGCGGGCCGACTGCATACCAGAAGGTTTAAAATTAGAGCATGTTATTTATATCAATATGAGTCAATATGTTTTTGGATATCTCATGCACCATAGAGCGCCACTCGCAGCCTTTTTTTAGTTAATTTACATTATATTAAATCAGGGTTAACATGCATATTAACGTCACCCTAGGAAGATTGTGTATTGGCATCTTTTAGCAAAAGATTTGCCTTTCTATATACAGTTGAAACCAGAAGGTTACTTACGCTGTATAAAAAGGCATATAACTATTTTTATGGTGTTTATATTACAGATGGTTATACAAAAGAGCCTTTTTAATAGCTAGTTAAAGAATTCACATTTAAAATATAATGCCAAAAGGCAGATGTTATTGTGACTAATTTTTTTTCTCTTTTAGGTAAGTTCTGCTTAATAGCAGAATAATGAGAGAGAGATTTTTTTAAACATTATCTTGAAAGTCAAGTTTACATACAATAAGATTATTATGCTCTGAAAAAGCTCAGATGTTGTCGAGGTTGTGGAAGTTTCTGATTGGCTAATTGACAATATTTGAGTTAATTGGAGGCACAACTGTAGAATAATATTAAAGGAAAACCTCAAACACACTGCTACCTTGTGTGACAATCAGGGCAAATCAACAAGATAGAATCAACAAAAAAAGCCAGAATACAATTTGTTAAATTACTCTGGGGAAAAAGACACATTTTTGGAGACATGTCCTGTGGTCTGATGGAACTAAGATTGAACTGTTTGGCCATAATGAACATAATGACCAGTGTTACATTTAGAGGACAAAGGGGAAAGCTTACAAGCCTAGGAACACCATGCCAACTGTGAAGAATGGAGGCGGCAGCATCATGTTGTGGGGCTTTTTTGCTGCAGGAGGCACTGGTCCACTTCACAGCATAGATGGTATCATGAAGAAAGAACATTATGTAGAAATGCCGAAGCAACATCTCAAGACATCATCCAGGAAATTAAAACTTGGCCACAAATGGGTCTTCTGAACAGACCATGACCCTAAGCATACTGCCAAATTAGTTAAAATGTGCTTTAAGGACAACTGAGTGAATGTTTTGGAGTGGCCATCACAAAGCCCTGAACTCAATCCTATAGAAAATTTGTGGGCAGTTGAAAGGCTTGTGTGAGCAAGACAGCCAATAAATCTGACTCGGTTACACCAATTCTGTCAGGAGGAATGGGACAAAATTCATTCAAACTATTGTGAGAAGCTTGTGGAAGGATACCAAAAACCTTTGATTAAAGTTATACAGTTTAAAAACAAAGCTAAAAAAAATACCAAGAGGAAAAAAAATCTCATTATTCTGGCATTTAGCAAAAGTCAATCATTTAGGTAATCCTAATAGACCTAAAATAGTAAACATTTAGTATGATTTACCATCAGACATTTAAAAAAACTGTAAATAATAATTTGAGCTCAGGAATTGCCGCTCTTATTTATCAACAAATAAAAGTCCACTGTGCAATTAGGAAACATCACATCAGCCTTAAAAAATGTAACTACATTTCTTGACAATGCGTAGCACAAACTCTGTGATTGGTCGTCTTGGTAGTGTATATGCTTCTGAGGGGTCAGGTCTACAGGTCTGAAGCAAGTGTGGGTGTCGCTGAGAGCCACAGAAGAGGTGTGAGCCCGTTGGCGCGAGTGATTTACATGTGTCGAGTCCCATAGAGGAGCTCCAGATGGAGACTTTTGTTTCGTATCTACTTTATGATTAAAGTTGTTCCACATCCACCGGTTCCCACCTCTGAATGAACCAGTGTGAACTACACAGTGTAATCTGTTACACAGTCCAAGATTATCGCATCTGGCACCATTGAAACTGATGTTTGGCATTGGCATGAGTGACCAAAGGTTTGGCTATTGCAGCCCAGCCATGTAAATTGACCCTGTGAACCTTTTTGGTGGAAACAGAAGAGTTGAGGTGCACATTTAATTCTGCAGCGAGTTGGTTTTATGTTTTTCGGATACAATCTAGATCAGCACCTCGACATCCCTTTCAGACAGCTTCCTCTTGTGTACACAGTTACTCTTGTTGAATGGGTTGAAAAAATGTGTTGTTTGGTATCTAGTTTAGACAGAAAAACATATCTGTCGGTTCTTCTAATCAAAATATGCCAAGTATTCATCTCTGTGAATATATCAGTAAACCACTACTTATTTCAAAACAGGTTTCCTGAGGAAAAAATGGACTAAATGTAGAATGTTTTTATTTTTTTGTCTGCCTGACTTTCTCTTCATTTCTGTTTCTTTGGATGAAGTCTGGACCTGTCTCCTAACGTTACCATACACGCACAGTGTTTGTGAAACATGTGTAAGATGATGTCATGCATCAAGCTCTCTTTAGGTATAACGGGTGAGCGCATGAGTTTGATCATTAACCTCTGGCATAATTGCTAACAGCACAGATTGTAGGATGATGTGTGCAGTGTTTTTAGTGTTTGTTTGACTCACCTGTACATAGGACACTTTATAACGAGTGTGATAAGTTATCTGATCCTCACCGGTGTGAATTCAGGCTTTATATAGACATGTACAGGTCTGCACAAAACATTAGCATGCTGCAGCTCAAAGCAGAAGCCTTTTATAGGTGTGTTTTTATTGTATGTTTTTTTTTGAAAGTCTGATCTCCTTTGCTTCCTATTATGGCAAAGAGCTGCCCCTTGATAATCTTAAAAATTTGCATAAAATGTTTGTAGACTTTGTGATCAGAATTTCACAAATGTAATTTATGTGATATAACTGAGTAATTTGGATTGGTTTTTAAGTCACTAAAAAGCATATTCTATGTAAAGCAATGCATGAGCTTAGTTTAAATGAAATACAGACATACTGTGGGGGATAGAAGTATTTAAAACCACCATTTTTCTAAGAAAACATATTTCTAAAGGTGCTGCCGACTTAAAAAATCTAAGAAATTCATATATGCAAAGAAAACAATATTAATTAGTTTACAAATTAGTTTGTGTAATAAAATGAAATGGCACAAGACAAAATTATTGAACACCTGAAGAAAGGGGGGTGTATAAAGGCAGTGAAAGCCCAGACAGCAGTTGAAATCTCTTAGTAGTTCTTCAGCAACTTTCTGTCCTTCGTCATTGTAAATGAATATTAGCTGATTTAGTCCAACATCTACATTAGCAGCATGATAAAGATAATTCCAGAGTGGATATTTCAGTAAGACAATGATCCAAAAACACAGCAAAGAAAACTCTCAAATACTTTCAGAGAAAGAAAATCAAGCTGTAGAATGGCCTAGCCAATCACCTGACTTGAATCTAATAGAAAATATCAAATAAAGCTCAGATTTGATAGACGAGACCCACAGAACCATCAAGATTTTTTACACTCTGTTGAAGTCTTTGAAAAACTCACACCTGAGCAATGCATTTGACTTCATTCTCCACACAAGATTCTGCCATCACCAAAAAAGTCTTTCATATAAAGCATTAAATAAGTTTCAGTATTTCAATACTTTCTCCTCGTGTCATTTCATTGTTATTACACACAGCATTTTTTTTTCAGATTTTGTTTTTCTTTTTTTATATTTTTATGTCTGTATTGTTTGAGTTTTTACCAAAAGCTGGTCTAATTATAGGTCAACAGCTCCTTTAGAATATTTTTCATGAAAAAAAACATGACGTGTTGGAATACTTTTTCCCCCTCTACAACCATGTTGTCTCCGTCATGTGACCTAAAGCGTCTCTTATGTTACTTCACTGCCAAAACCTCTCATGTGGCCTCATGGGATAGTAACATTTGATGTGTTATGAATGTTTTTAACATACTTTCCTTTTTTTTTTCACCTGCTATTGAATCATATTTAGAAAAGAATGAAAGGCACATTGTACTATAGATACGTGTGCGATGAGATTAAGTGCATCTCACTGCTCAGTGCAAACATGTAAATATATTCTTTATAGGTGGACATAGATTTTTTTTTTTTAACTAAATTAATCTAGGAATTTATCTAGATTAAAATGGCTCATTTTAATCCTGCCGAATGCATTCAGAATATGTGTGCTACCCAAAATAATAAGTCTTTGAGAGCGGATTACTCAAGCCAGGTGGCGCATTAGACTAGGGGCTCATCTCCTGTTTCCAAAATGCAACACAAACTGCTTGAGAAACTGTTCTACTATGATAATTAGTGATGGAAAAAAAAATTGTTCAATAATATGTACTTGTGTTTACAAACTGTTTATTTAGTTAAACATGAGTTCTGAACTGTAGGCCTACAAAAGCTTGAAACAGCAATATTTTATTTATTTATTTATTTATTTATTTTTTGATCACCCTTATCCGACTAAAGTCATAACTGAACTAAACAGAAATAGAATTAAGACATGTGAAGTATGCATATATTAGTGACATTATTGAAGTAAACACTGCGCTCAAACTACTACTGTCATGTTGGACTTTCCGCCATATTTTCCAACAAGATCCACACATGCGGCTGTCGGTCAAGGAACACACACACACACACACACACACACACACACACACACACACACACACACACACACACACACACACACACACACATCGCGAAATGTGAACGTTTTTTCTTTCCATTCGGCGTGCGTTATTAAATTCCATAACACTCTCACCAGTCCTTACTCCTTATTTGCGTCTATTACCCCAGTTTGTCACAGGGGCATGAATGAAATGTTCATGAGTTAAAGTGAAACTGCCGAACTGCAGTTAAAGTCAGGCATCCTGCTGATTTGATTCAGAAGGGCATTTTTTTTTTTTTTGTCAGACGGCTCACCAGTCAGTTATACATCAATAATGAACATTATTGACCAGGCCACAGTTATAAAAAGGTTGGGGACCACTGCTGTAGATAATAAATAGGAGTGCAAAATAGGGAATAAAGCAATTCTGAGGTGGAACGATAGATATATAACAAGATACATTTAAATGAAATATGCATTGAGAAGCAGAGATTGTAAAAGAAAACTAATACCGTATCTACAGCAGATTCATATAGCTCTCCACAATGGTGATTAGATTCCTCGTATCACTGTATGTGCTGTTTTGATAACTGTGTGTAGCTTTGTAACAGGATAACATACTGACTAACACACCCTTGATTTCTAAAGCCACTTAAAATGAGCAGATCCCATTATAAGTTCTGGTAGTTCACAGCATGGCGTGTTGAGACACAAACAAACACTGTGTTTGCATGTATCCGATTACTAACACGTCTCTGTTTTGTGTTTCAGTGCGACGGAGGCGAGTCGAGAGGGATGTTTAAAGCATATTCCACTCTCGCTTTCTCTCTCTCGGCTGATCAGACTCTTGTGCCAAACCCTCTGAGGGAGACGCTTCACCTGAAGAAGGGACACAACTGGATACTTTGCCTCCCTAATGTTAATACTCTTATACTTTTTTTTGGTTATGTATTATCATTGATGTTATAATTGCTGTTTGTTTTAATAGCTGCTACTCTTGTGCAGCTCTTTTTGTTGTTGTTGTTTGGTTCATGTCTGCTCTATTCTTTGTAAAAGTTCTTTGAAACGAAACAGAAGACGGTTAATCACTCGCACACAAGTTCAGTGGTGATTTCTTCATGGACAGGCTGGATTTAAACCTGCGCTCATATTCACGCCGAACAAATCTAGACTCAACTGGACTGGATCTGCTGTGTTCCCCCGTTAAATGTGAGCTAAATCTAGATTTTCTTCGATGCAGGGTTTGGAGCAGTGGTTTGAACATACTTTCTTTAAAGGGATGGGTCAACAAAACATGAAAATAGTCATTTACTCATCGATTTCTTTCAGAAATGAAGATATAACGAAGAATGTTTGAACTTTTGATCTCCATGGTATATTTAGTTCATACTATGGATGTCAATGGCTACCTTTTCCAATGTTTTCCAGAATATCTTCCCTTATGTTCAACCGAAGAAAGGAATTGATCAAAGTTTGTGAGGATTTTTTTGGGTGAACTATCCCTTTAATGAAAGTCATCTGTACTTTAGCTGTTAACTTTAGCATGCACTGTGTGTGGATGTCACTTGGCTGCTGGGTTGCTGAAAAACTGAGCTTCCACACCACATCACACGTTCTTCTACATGTTCTCCCATTGAGATGCTTCCTATTGTAAACTCGTTTCCCCAATTACACCATATATAGCGTGTTTGAGGAATCAAAAGGCTAATTTAAGGACCGGTGGCCCATTTTCATCTAATTTAATTTGCTGATGGAACCACTAAATTAATACTGATCACAACTCTATGTACATTTGCCCTGTATAAATGTTTTAAAGGGACATTTCACCCCCAATTCTGTCATCATTTGTTATTTTTGTTTTCTTTCATTCAGCGAAAATCACTTTAATTCAATATACAACAATTCACAATTTCGAAAAGACATCATAAACTTATTTAACAAGCAACATTTTTAAAAATATGTCGTTTGTGTTCTGCAGAAAAAAGAAATCTATTGATTTTTAACAACGAAATTTTCTTTTCTTTTTTGAGGTGTCAAGATGCAAATTGATTCAGCTTATACACTGAAAAAAAGATTGATTGAATTTGCTTATTTTTTTAAGGGAAGCGATTGCAAACTATTTATTTGGGCTGAATTTAAACAAATAAAATTTAGTAATGGATCAAAATATACAGTGGAAGCCAATGGCTGCTGGTTTACAAAATTTTTTAATCTAAGTTCAACAGAAACTCAAAAATATGTGGTACAAACAAAAGATAACAAATAGAATTTTCAAACATTTGTTTGTTTAAATTCAGCCAATATAAATCGTTTGCAACCACTTACCTTGAGTAATTGAGTAAATCCAACGAATCACCATTTTTAGTGTACTGTGCTAACACCAGTGCCCTCGTTTTTATCTAATGCCATTGAATGGAAAGGGGCAAACTTGTATTTGATTAGGACTAATGTCCACTTTGGGAGTTTGTAAGCTCGCATACATCTTCACAACTGTAAATGGACTTGATGTCTCAAAAACTCTGAGCTTCTGCATCACATCACACGTTCTTCTACATGTTCTCCCATTGAGATGCTTCCTATTGTAAACTCGTTTCCCCAATTACACCATATATAGCGTGTTTGAGGAATCAAAAGGCTAATTTAAGGACCGGTGGCCCATTTTCATCTAATTTAATTTGCTGATGGAACCACTAAATTAGTACTGATCACAACTCTGGGTACATTTGCCCTGTATAAATGTTTTAAAGGGACATTTCACCCCCAATTCTGTCATCATTTGTCATTTTTATTTCTTTCATTCAGCGAAAATCACTTTAATTCAATATACTACAATTCACAATTTCGAAAAGACAATATTTAGAAATGTTTTTTTTTTTTTGAAACATAGTAAACTTATTTAACAAGCAACATTTTTAAAAATATATCGTTTGTGTTCTGCAGAAAAAAGAAATCTATTGTTTTTTAACAACGAAATTTTCTTTTTTGAGGTGTCAAGATGCAAATTGATTTAGCTTATACACTGAAAAAAAGATTGATTGAATTTGCTTATTTTTTTAAGGGAAGCGATTGCAAACTATTTATTTGGGCTGAATTTAAACAAATTAAATTTAGTAATGGATTAAAATATACAGTGGAAGCCAATGGCTGCTGGTTTACAAAATTTTTCAATCTAAGTTCAACAGAAACTCAAAAATGTGTGGTACAAACGAAAGATAACAAATGACAGAATTTTCAAACATTTGTTTAAATTCAGCTCATATAAATCGTTTGCAACCACTTACCTTGAGTAATTGAGTAAATCCAACGAATCACCATTTTTAGTGTACTGTGCTAACACCAGTGCCCTCGTTTTTATCTAATGCCATTGTATGGAAAGGGGCAAACTTGTATTTGATTAGCACTAATGTCCACTTTGGGAGTTTGTAAGCTCGCTTGCGTCTTTACAACTGTAAACTTGATGTCTCAAAAACTCTGAGCTTCCGCATCACATCACACGTTCTTCTACATGTTCTCCCTTTGAGATGCCTCCTATAGTACATTCTTTTACCCATTCACACCAGATATCGTGTGTCTGAGGAATAGCCGTGCTAATTTAAGGACCGGTGGCCCATTTTCTTCTAATTTAATTTGATGATGGAACTACCGAATGAGTACTAATCACAAATTTGCCCTCTATAAATGTTTCAAAGGGACATTTCACCCCCAATTCTGTTACCATTTATTATTTTTACTTTCTTTCATTTAGCGAAAATCACTTTAATTCAATATGCTCAAATCCACACGATTCCAAATGTATGAAAAGACGATATTTGGAAACGTGTTTTGTTTTTTTAAAATGTCAGCATCCTAAACTTTAACAATTAACATTTAAAATATATATATATTGTTTATGTTCTGCAGAAAAAAGAAATCTATTGATTTTTAACAACATAAGTGTAGGTGATAACGATTTTTTGCGGTGTCGACATGCTTACTGATTGAGCTTATACACTCAAAAGAATTAATGGTTGGATTTGCTACATTTTTTTTTTTAAGGTAAGTGATTGCAAACAGTTTATATGTGCTGAATTTAAACAAATTAAATTTAGTAATGGATCAAAATATACAATAGAAGTCAATGGTTGCTGGTTTACAAAATTTCTCAAAATCTCAGTTAAACAGAAACTCAAAAATATGTGGTACAAATGAAAGATAACAGATGACAGAATTTTCAATCTTCATTTGTTTGTTTAAATTCAGTCTATATAAATCGTTTGCAACCACTTACCTTAAAGAAATCGAGTAAATCCAATGAATCATCTTTTTTCAGTGTACCCTACTAACACCAGTGCCCTATTTTTATCTAATGCCATTGGTTGGAGATGGACAAACTTGTATTTGATTAGCACTAATGTCCACTTTGGGAGTCTGTATGAAGCTTAAAAGGAAGCTCGCATGCGTCTTCACAACTGTAAACTTATATTTTAGGAGATATTTTCCACCGAACACTGCACTAAGGCAATGGTCTCAAACTCAATTACTGGAGAGCTGCAGCTCTGCACTAAGTTACACGTGCTTAATAGTCTCTAGTTGTCTTGAACACCTTGATTAGTTGGAGCAAAGTTGGTGTTTGATTAGGGTTGGTGTAAACATGTGCAGAGCTGCGGCCCTTGAGGAAATTGAGTTTGAGACCTATGCACCAAGGGATATTTTCTACTTTTTTTTCTGCACAGGAAGTAAGCATTTCTGTAATTTAGTTGTCTGTTATAGATTTAGATGAGAGTATATTTCCTGTAGATAAATCTTACATGGCTTTTCTAATACAATGCCAAAGACTAACACCTAAATACTCTAAGTTTCAGGACTCCAGCTGAGGGCAGACAGCAAATAGAAGTTTGAATTTAGCTTGTTTTTGACTTTATTAAAAGAATAGGTCACTTTATACAGGTACATGACGGTTTTGCCATTTTACATCCTGATTTGTTTCAAATCTGTGGATGCAACTACTGTAATATTTTTATGGGGGTTTTTTTCCCCACAAAGAAACACTTCTCCTAAAAAAAATTTAACTCTGTCATAATTTGTTCACTCTTAGGTTATTCTAAACCTGTAAGAGTTTTTTTTTTTTTTTTTTTTTTTGTGGTTTAACACAGTAGATGTTTTAAATAAAAAGGTTTTTAGTCCCTGCCAGCTATATGTTTTTAATCCTTCTTAAAGGAGTAGATTACCCAAAACTGACAATTCTGTCATCGCTTACTCACCCTTCACTTGTCACAAACCTGGTTGAGTTTCTGTCTTCTGTCAAACATACAAGAAGACATTTTGATCAATCTTGAAAACCTGTTACTATTGACTTGCATAGTATTTGTTTCTCCTACTATGGACAAGTCAATGGTTACAAGCTTTTTCCATACTTCAAACCATGTTATTTTGTGTTTAAAAGAAAAAAGGTAACTCATTAAGGTTTGCAACCACTGGAGGGTGAGTACATTTTTATTTTGGGGATCTATCCCTTTAAGGGTTTTCACAGTACACCGACTGTCCCTTTTTGTCTGGACACTTGGTCAGTGTTCATTTTCAATTATTAAACACAGTTAATTGGCATTTATTAGATTGTAGAATGTATAAGAAGTGGCATATGTTAATCTGTTCTTTTAATATTTTTCTATAATCTGAATTCTAATAATCCTTTTCACTTTAAAGATCAAAAATCATTGGTCCACCATCTTCTAATCACATTACAACTATAGTCGGTAGACCTTAGTATGGAATAAAATGGCTTGTAGAATTTATCCCAAATTGTCTTTGGTGATCAATGGTAAAACAAACTTAAAATGATTTTGGAACCAAATGAGGATGAGAAAAGTATTAAATGTTCATGTTAGTGTGGATTATTTTATTTCATGTAGGATAAAAAAAAAATCATTGGTTCGAAAATCTAAAATCGTTTGTCCACCATCTTCCAACCACAATACGACTATAGTCTGTAGATCTTAATATTAAAAATTGACTTGCAGAATTTATCCTAAATTCTCTTTCGGTGTTTAATGGTAAAATGACCTTAAAATGGTTTTGGAACCAAATGAGGATGAAAAAATGACTAAATGTTTATTTT